ATATATATATATATATATATTTTGACATTAACCTTTCAGTATCTGATAATCACATTGAGTCTCAATTAATTTGAAATCAAGTCACATTGGACCTCATTAAAGAGAAAACTCTCCCAATACTTGTTTTTTCATTTATAAAAGTCGAATTCAAAATCTTATTTAAGAGAAACCGAACTCCTATTATTCAGACCAATAAGCCATTAGTTTTTGTTTTTTCTTATTGATAAGCTACGGTGTATTCTAGTTATGCAATTTAGGTAAATCTGCTAGATACTCGTTTGATATTTTTCTATTTTTAGAGATTATTAACCACATTTGATGACAAGGACAATAAACAGAACAACAATAACGGAATATCTAATTTGATTTCCATTCCTTTTGGGTTTTGGCCATATATCACTTTCTGGAAAGATCTCTCTTTTTTTTTTTTTTTTTTTCTAACAACAGTAATTGTGGGGGTGGAACCGAGGGGAAGTTGGGACTTGAACCCACACCCCTTACGCCAATCCACCCCAGCATTCTCTCTTCCTTTGTCAAGTAAGGGTGCATTTGGGACTGTTATTGAGGGTTTTATTTTATTTTTTTATTATATAATATATTAAATTAAAATGTGTTTTGAACAATCTCTGAAACATGAAAGCAACCATATAACCAACAAAATAACAAAAATACCAACGAGGGGTTGGATCAAATGGCAAGCAGCTTGTTTTAACTTAAACAAGATCTCAAGTTCGAAACTTTGTGTACGCAGCAGCTTTCGTTGGGAGACCCACCCACTATTCTGGTGCGCCACAGCTGATCAAGTCCGAAGTAGTCGAGGCAAAACCTCAGATACCGGGTGGAAAACCGAAAAAAAAAAAACAAAATAACAAAAATGACAAACAAGAAAAAAGTGACTTTTTCTCGACTTCCATTTTAAAAGCAAAAAGTTCCATCAAACTATAGGACAAAGAAAAATATCTTTGTCAATGCCATTCATTACTTTCCATCCTTTCAATTCTATTGTCACATATTTGGCTTTACATAGTGGCCCTACCTTCTTTACCCTCATCTGATTTTTTTTTGGTCAAAATCTTTATACCACCATCTCTATATTCTAGGCAAATTATGGTCCCCAAATACCCTTTAGATATTTATGTTTCGATAGTTTTTTTTGTCATTTATGTCACACAATTGACAGATATGTGTAATTCTCCTTTACTTTAAAAAAAATCTTTCAGTCATTAATTTTTAAAATTTAAAAGGGTGACTTCAGAAGAAAAACATGACTTTTCTTTCAAATGCACCAAAAAAATTTATGGATAAAATAAGAGTTTGTGTAGGAAATAAGTCCCTTAGAATAGATCTTAGTAATTAAAATTTTGAATTTTTATGTTAGAGTTTTTAAATTCAAATTTTAAGTGATGAGAAGGAATGAGATATTTTTATTATATAACTTATTATTTGATATTAAAAAATAATTAATAAACTTATAATTCTATTTCTTTACTCATTTTTTTTTTATAAATCTCTCTAAATGTCTCCTCAATTTCATAAGAAAATGCCAAAAAA